TTTTGTGCAACTGGAGAATCCAGTGTGACCTTTTACATTCAAAACAAAAGATTTTGCTGGTGCATCACATATCAAACCAAATAATTTAATTTCAATTACGTTATTTTTATAAACATAACCATTACGTAAATTAATTAAATCATTGATTAAAGGTTGCAAAAAAGTATTAGAATCTTGCGGTTTTTTATCTCCAAAAAATGCACCAACCAGATATACATCATTATTAGTTGTATTTGAACATAAAATAGGCCATAATGATGCATTTGATGATTTTGATAATGGAAGACCATCTATATTTATGAGTAAATTAATATGTTTTTCGCAAGATTTCAAGAACATTTTTATAATAATATTCTCCAAACCCGAATAAAAAAATTCTCCTCCACATATATTTGTAACATAAGCTTGTCGTGGAGTTTGTAGTAATGTTCGTATATCTGCTGAGAATTTATATGGTGTATATTGCCGCAAAATTTTTAATAATGCATTACATGTGACATGATTGACATTATATGTTACAGCCCATGTAGCTATAGCATTTTTTATTTTTTTTTCATCATTTATAGCATCATTGTGAGCCTCGTTTATAATTTCTATAGCTGGAAAGTCATGATCATCATCTTCATTATCATTATTATCATTATCATCTGCATAATCATAGTTTCTTTGGATATCATTGTTATTATTTGGATGTTGTTGACAATTTTCAAAAAAAGATGCAATTTCAGTACAAACACTATCATTAATATTATCTTCAATAGATATATTAATATTTTCATTTGAGTTTTTATGCAAATCATAATCCAAATTAGAATCTTTAAAAGAAATATTGGTAGTCAATAAATTATGTTTTAAAATGTGTTTAGATGATCCAGCAAGATCTATATTAGTTTCATTTTCAATAACTCTCCTAAATTGACGTTTTGATAAAAATGGATTTGCATTAGACATATTTGTGACAATAATTATTAATATTAATACAAATAATTGCCCTGAAAAAAATATTTTATTTTAATGTATACACGTATAATAGCACAAACATTAACTAAATATTCCAAATAATATGTATGTATAAAATAAGCATGTATTTTTAATTATAATATTATTACAATGATCGTCTGAAAAGTTTTGAGCCTGAACATGAAAATGGCATTACGTTAAAATTCTGGTACTAAATTCGTACATGCTTTGAAAGATACCTATGAAAATTGTAGCCACTTTGGATGTTTAATTGTTGCTTGACAGTCATTTATGCCAGTCGATGTTAGTATTTTTAAAAATGGAAAAAAATATAATATCGTGCCGTGATTAAATTCTTACATTTGAAACCGTAAATCTGTAAACAGCATCCAACTTGGTTTTAATTTGCGTAGGTATATTGCCTTTCAAATGCAAGAAATTTAGTCATGGCACGCAGTATTCGGTTTTTTCCAATTGTATTGAAAACACTGACATTGACATTGACTTGCACAAATGACTGTCAAATAACAATTAAACGTCCAAAATAGTTATAATTTTTATAGATATCTTTCAAAGCATGTATGATTTTAATCAAATGTAATTACAATTCTAAGGTACAAATGCTACATGCGACAAAATTAGAAAAATAATTATATTTACCTTTGATCTTTCCTATATTTTTTAAAATCCGAAACTATTTTTTTCTTTTTATTTCACCGGCTGGTGAATTATATCGCCTTCAACCTTCTCGCAAAGTTATATACATATAGTTCTACGAAATTCTTTATAATGATATTAGGTTAGGTTTTCTTCTTTGTAGTACATGTATAACACGTGTAGATCCCTGCAAATACAGTGATCGATCAAAGCTGAAAGATATAATAATTGTCATAAAAATAAAGGTATATGTAATATATTATTAAGTGAAGTTAAATCCGAGCATATATATAACTGTAGATATAAATCAAATACTTACTACCTGCTCGTGCTAAGAAGATAAAATCCTTTCTGGCACTATTTTTATTAATTGTTTTTAAGATAATTTAACAGTATCGTCGTATAAAGAGTTTCGTATCACGTTTAGCAACACTTTTTTAACCAAACACCAGGGAAAAGACACACTCGAAACAGTAACAGCATGCAGAGTGAGTGAATGCCGGAGACAACTTGAAATAACTCAAGGCTCCAATCAGAAGACGTATTTCGATCACACAACCTATAGCCTATAGCGCAAGCGCAGTAATGGTCTTACAACAGTTAATAAATGAGGTGATACAAGACAGTCATACACAATGCGCTAGTAGCGCCACAAAATTGCATGATCGTGTTAAATTTATTCACAATTTGATTTTCCAATTTAAAAAAAAGGAAAATATTTATAATACTATATTTATTTAATATATAGTATATTTATAAAAATAAGCGTAACATATTTACCTGATATGACCGTTAAATAACAAATGAACACGATCTTGAGTACACGTGTAAGAATTACGTTAATTATTCTTAAAAACAGTTTTACATTACACAAAAATAGGAAAAAATTATTATTTATTAAAATTAAGAATTATATATAGTTTTGCAATGTTTCCGAAATATTAATGTCATAATGCTAATATCTTACAGGTATTTTATTAATTTATGTTTCCACAATGTTTCTGCAATGTTGCATTGAAATTTGCAACATTACAACGTTGCTGCAACATAGCTGGAATCTTTTGTGCTGTATGGGTAATGACATCTTTTACCATATCAAAGTTATGTATACGCTCTAATGGAGAAATTATGAATTCTTCATTGATTTTTAGATGATGCTCAGGGTCTTGTTTGCTTCTAAAGCTTTCGTCGGTTCTCAATGAACAATCTACTTGTGGATAACTCATGTGTTTTTCTTTTCGGTAATACTCTCCTTCAACTGTACATTTTTGACAACCATTGTATGAGTTGAAACCAACAACACCTAAAATAAAATAAAATACAAATATTTTATTTATAAATGACAAACTATCGAAAAATAACAATAAATTATATAATAATAATAATAATAATAATAAAAATACATGTACATACACTTAATAAAACAACGAGCTGGAGTGTCGCATATGAAAGAATTTACTTTGACGTTGATGATGCGGTAGCTTATCTGAATTCTATTAATTAAAATCTCGTTCAGTTTATCTATGAACTTCTTCAAAAATTTTCCTGCACTTGGTGGTTTGGTATCGCCACAATATATAGCTATAATTATTGGCGAAATTTGTGGCATTTCTACTATATTTGAAAGAATAAGCCAAAATTGATTTTTTGAGCTTCCAGGAGCAATTGGCAAGCCGTCTATATTAAAGTTTAAAGAAATTTCATTGAATGTTATGTCAGGTGGCAAACTTTTCTCTAAGCTCTCTTTTAATCCATTATACCAAAATACACTGTTTCCCATCTTTTCAACTTTTACCACTCTTGGTGTACGTAGAAGTGTTCTTGCATCGTTTGGTAATAAATTCTTTATTCCATCATATTCTGATAATATATTTAGCAATTCTTTTATTGCAGTATGTTTAATTTGATTGTGAACTGCCCAATTTTGCAATTTATGTGCAATGGACAGTTTTCCTTCTAGAATGTCATGCTCATTAACATCATCAATATCATTGAATTCATTATATATTGAATTATAATAATTCTCTTCATTGTAATCATTCGAACCTTCTTTAGATAAAAAATCATAATTTGTATCAGTCTCGATCGTCTGTTGTGTTGATGATGTTGAAGGATTTTGAGACTGGTGCAAAAATGAATAATTTTTGATGAACATGGCGATGGCAAAGACGAACAATCTTGTGGACTCAGTAATGGCTTAGCTGAGATGTTGCTGCAAGATGAGACTGGTGTTGTGGAAGATGTTGGCAAAGCTTTCACACGATTCATGTTTTGCATATAAAATTTGACTTTTCTGTAATATGTTGCTGTGTGCTTAAATGGTCTTTTTCCACAAGAAAAATTCATTATGATTGATATCACTTTAGTTTACAAGCACTGTTAACAATAAGATAGCAAAATCACTAGAATTAATCACATACTCAAATAGTCTCCGTCATTTGGAAGACGTTATGCGTGTTTACTTTTCCTGGTTCAGATTTGGGTAAAAATTAGTCGCAATAGGAGACATCACTTGGGCTTTGTTTAATAATAGATCAAAATATCGACGTCGGCTTAGCTGACTTCAATCGACGTCGGCATTAGGATGGATTTAGTTTGCAGAGCCGACGTCGAATTAGCTAACTTAAACTAATATCAACATTAGGTCAGATTTAGTTTAAAAAAATTAATGTCAGCTTTGCCGACGTCGCCGACGTCGGATTTGGATAGATACAATGACGTCGATAAAGCCGACGACGGTGCGACGTCATTTAACGTTTACAACAACGACGTCTCTTAAGCCGACCAATATATTACTAAACACGACGACAACATTAATTCCAACTATAAATCTACTAATTCTGTAGATATAATTGATATGAATTTGGTATAGTATTGGTCGTTAGTCAGATAATTATACCGATGTGCTGCTTGGGTATAGGATCGATTTTCTTTCATTATTTGAAAAGTACTTATTTTTTACTTTTATCGCTTTTCTATCAATACAGCAATATTGTAATATATAAAATTTTTGATAACAAATGGTTTCTTTGTAATTTTCTTTGTAATTTTCTTTGTAATTTTCCTTTTTGTATTTCTATTTTTACTTTTTTGGAGAATAATTTAATTTCTAATGACTTTATTTTACTTGGTAAATTTTAATTTAAGTTTTAATGAAATAGAAGATCGGAAGAGCACACG